AGTGATGACAAAATAACAATCCACATTTTGTTCACCCATTAGGAGCTCAAAGGAGCAGCAGCAGCAGCTCCTGACTGCAAAGCTCCCGAGGAGAGTAGAGGCTGCTCGTATGAGATATGGGTGCGTATCACGGAGTCTCAGAGCACTAAGCATGGGGCTTCGAGGCGGGTCGCTTCCGACTCACGTTCTTCCCACTCATCCCGCAAACCTGGGGATATACACGAATGGCTACAGGCCAGCAAGGACCGATGCCTGCAGGTGAAGATGAGGGCCACTGGCACACGCGGCCATGAAGAACCCGTGTCCCCGTGGTCAGTTCTTCTGTTTACTTAACTAAGCTCTCGCATTCCTATTTATATTTTGGGTTATCACAATCGGCATGTTTGAAAGTTTAACATGCATGTTGAAAAGTCTCACACATTTTATTTTCCTAAGGGCCAGACACTTGAATAGTTATCCGGTGCGGAGAATCCAGTGAGAACTTATGCTGATGTCTCTTTTACTTTTAACCAGAGATTGGCGAACTACAGCCTGTAAGATGCCCGTTTGTGCAAATAAAGTTTTATGAGAACACAACAACCCCCATCTGTGTACATATTGTCCGAAGCTACTTTCAACCACATGGGAAAAATTGGATGGTTGCAACACAGACCATATGACCCTGAAAGCCAATAATATTTACTTTCTGACCCTGGACAAAATAAGTTTGGTGACCTCTGACCTTTAGCCATGGCAACCCCTCGCATGGAGGGCAAAGGTAAATGGAGAAATTTGGTATAATAAGATCAGGACTTAAGAATGACTTATAAAAGGGGACTGCCAGGCCACATTGGGAACAACCTTCTGCGGAGATGGTCCTAGAAGATGTCGCACCCCATGTGAAATGGAGGTCCCTCTAGCCTGGCTTCCCATTTCTCCTTTTCACAAATCCTAAGCAGAGACACTGGAGGGTCATCCATTTCTATCTCTTCCTTTTACTTGAAATGGGTTTTTATCCCCAGGGTAATTGTCCACAGAAATCTAACAAATGACTGGCCGGGCTGGTATTATATTCGGTGAGGACAGACGTCTGTGTTCCACAGCCCTTCTCCGAGGAAGGAGACTTTGAAGGCTGGAACACCCAAGTTCCCAGAAACACCGCCTCTCCTGCAGAGAACTGGGCCCGCGTGTCCCCGCCTCAGCCGGGCACATCGCGAGGCCATCGACTGCGTGGCATTGCGAAACGATGACCGTAGCCATCCTCTCTCCCGCGGCAGTGAGCATCTGGTGTCCGTTCACTCTGACAAATCGCAGGGTGCTCTGACACCAAGGCCGTGCAAGCAACTGCTCAAGGGCCCTCCAGTCATCCCATTCCGTGAATTCAAGGAAAGGGGGTGCTCGGGCTGTACCGCAGGCCGAAACCTCGGTGCCTCGAAACCATCTGTCACTGAACAGGCAGGTCAGTCCTCCTGAACAGCAATTAAGAGGATTTCCAAAAACGGGCCGGTCCATGCAAGCCACCTACCAGGGTTTTCAGCGGGGCCCAGGAGAAAGGGTGCTACTTGTTACCAAGACAACAATGATTCTCCCAAATAGTTTGTAAAAACCTTCCACAAAATATTCTTTTGGACAACATGGTTTTGATTTTCCATCTTGTCTAGCTGAGATTTGAGTTATAACCTTTTAGTTAGGTCTGAAATAATGGAAGCAGGAGCAACAATCAGAGGTTAAGTCTACTTAAAAAAAAAAAAAAAATGCCGGTCCTCATCTTCCGTCCTTGCCCGAGTAGCTCACAGAGGTCCCTAGTTAGTTCAGTAGACGCTCATGCACGTAAGCCCCACCGGTCAGTGGGAGCACTTGGCACTAAGGTAGGTCCTACTTGCAAGGCCATAACTTTGCAAGAAGCACCCAGGGAAGGACAGCACAGTGCACACAAAAAGCCTGGGGGACGGAAGCGAGGGGCTCACCCCTGGGAGGCTCAAACAGCAGGGGAGGTGGGAAGGTGGAGATTGCAGAGGGGCAGGCGCAAGAAGACAGGTGGGCATCAGTTACCTGCGTGGCATCAGTAAGGCGGCCATACAGGCACCGGCTTACGGTTAACCCTCCGGCAGGTGTGTAGGCACGTCAGGGCGAGAGATAAGACTGTGGGGGCACCGGGGTTTACCCTTTCACGTCCTCTCACCTAAAATCAAAGAATCTGCTGTGAGAGAGGGCCGGCCTCCCTTATCCTACTGTGCTACAAATCCTAGTCAATGGCTTTCTGCCAGCGGAATACCTCCCCCCACATACCCCATTCCCCCAAAACGTCTGCTCATCCTGAGCCAGGGAAACCAATCAAAGATGGACAAGGACAAATTATTGGATGGGTTCACATGGCTGCCTGTTGGTCAGGAGTTTCCACTTCCCCAACGACTGGCCACCAACCATAAAGTGGGACACGTGCCCCAGGGGAGAAAGGCATGGGCCTGGTGAGCCAAAAATTACTGTTCTCTTTGTCTTACTTGTGTGGGGCCCAAGTGACCAGCCAGCCAGGGGTGAGGGTGGGTGAGTCAGGGCAGCGCTTGCTCCAGAACCATTTGATTGGCCGCTGTTCTGATTCTCACTTCCCTCCAAGGTTGGAACCTGTCTCAGAGGTGGGAGTGCATTAGCGTTGGGAGGGCATGACGGGAGGAAGGTGGGATCACTCCAAGGCAGGCTTGCCAGGCACTGACACCACACCGGCCTGCTCCTCTGCAGGGATCACCCACAGAGGCTGAAGATGAGAGTATGTGAGTCACTCTTTCTTGCCCACAGGGAAGCCACCTGACCTTCCTCAGCCGGGACTGGCCCGCTTCTGACCCAAGGCAGGAAGGACTTCAGGGAAAGGGGATATAGAGGTCGAGGGCTGATCCGCTGATAATCTCTCTCCTGAGGGCCCATTCTCGGCTACAAAACCTTTGTTTCCACAGAAGAGAACTGATAGGAAGAAACACGTGAAGACAGCAGCCTATCCATAAAGGGATCCCCCTGGGGAACCCTGACACCAAACATAGAATCCATTTGGAAAGAAACCTAATTTAGATAGATAAGGCTCCTACAAGATTCATTTAAATTATTTTGATACTATCTGGAATGTTTCACAAAGACTTTTTAAAATACCTTCTCTGATATTGCCATGATTAATAAAATAAAAAGATTTCTTTGTTAAAAAAAAAAAAAAAAAAAATGAGGTAGACTTCACTTAAGGCTCACCCCCAGGCCACCGACGTGGGCTGCGCCCCTGACAGCTGGACCATTTCCTTCTTCTCCCAACCCTGCATATACCTGCTGGCTCAGAAGTCAGGAAATCCAAGCTCCTTACAGCTTTAGGGGTCTCTAGAGATCATGACTTGGGGCATCTAAGCCTCGTCTTCTCTGCCTTCTGGGATATAGCCCCAGATGACGGGCATGCCCATGCCGGACGCCTTCATTATCCTGGAGCTGAGTGGAACAGGGGACTTCCACCCACGGGGACAGCAGGCAAGGTCGTTTGGGGCAGGTATCACCAGGCCTCCTGTCACTGCCTCGTCACTCTTCCCATCCCCACTGCTAGCCCACACTGGCTTGCCGGAGATGCCGAGATGCCTGCTTCTCTCCTACATCCAGCGCTGCCCACCAGTGCCCCTCAGACGTTCCGCCACCCCTTGGATTAGCTTCGCCTCGGAGCCCATGGAAGAAGAGTCTGCAGGGTTCTCTGACCCCGGCTTCCTCATTCATCCCAGTACCCTGGGGTTCTTACTCCATTCGGCCCTTGACTTTTGGGGGACAGAGTTCAGGGTTACCCAGAGCCCAGGAAGGCCAAGGGTGTGATCGTACCCACAGCACATGTGCCCTCCTTGGTGGACATCAAGTTATAGGTGACTCTACAGGATGGGACGTAATGGAAACAGGATACTCAAGGAAAAATAAAAGGCTAAAAGCAAAGAGCAGTGATTTATAAAGAGGGGAAGAGAGACTAAGAGCCTCAGTAAGGAGAAAGCAATCAATATGGAGAGGCAGGTTAATTAAATATGGATAATGCAATCAGCCCACACGGGCACCCGGAGAGAAACGAGAAAAGCAAAAGCCATACTCACTGTCTTTGACCAGTCCTCATGGCCTGCGGGTCTCTGCCAACAGGAGAGTCAGAGAGGCTGCGGGGTAAGGAGCTCTGGGGAAAGAGCAGAGCTTTCTTTTAGCAGTCAAATCCTTGGCGGGTGAAGGGCATGTGTGCATGAACACGCAGGCACACGCGCGCACGCACACACATCTACACACGCATGCATGCACAATACGCCTCCCACCACTGGAGCCGGGCGGCAAGCGCCCGATGGGGAAGCTCCTCTCCCTGCTCGTTCCAGCCAGTAAATACTGAAGCAGTCCACACCCAGCGGGCGGCGGCTCAGCCGCGGGGCATGGTCTGCACACCCATCCTCATCGGCAGGATGCAGGAGGTGTCCCTGAGCAGAACTCGCCTGGCACTCCTCCCGCACCTTCTTCCTCGGCTTCACTAAGCCGCTTCCCTGGTTCTTTGGCTGCAGCTCAGGGAGAAGTCCCCACAGCCCAAAGCTGCCTCCCTCTGCACCCAGAGGCTGTGCAGGGGGCAGCGAAGCTGTAGGTATTAACTCTTTGCAGCCACCGATGTGCTGAAAATTGAGTGTCCAGAGGTCCGTCTTCTAATGAGCTCTTCTGCTGGCTGAAGGCTGGTTGCTGCTTAGGGAGCAGGGAGCATAAAGATCTTGCCCCAGACAGCTGCTGACAGCAGGAGCCAAGCTGAATCAAATCTCCTAATGAGCCGGGAGGAGGGGGGCTGTCTTGCTGGGTGTGATGTGATGTGATAAATGCAGAGAGCAAGAAAGCTACCGGGCAGGTCACACATCTAAATTCCACCCCCTTCCTCCCAATTTCCATTGTGCTGCACTACCAAGCCAAACCGCACAGCCCTGAAATTAA